GGCTACAGTCTAGGAGGGTTGCAAATATGGCCTGTGTCTGTCTGGAATATTATTTGTTGTACCCATGCAAGGCACCGACTTCTGAAGAAATAATCCCATATTATTCAGTGGGGTCAAGAAAATAAACAGGGGTCACAGGAGCTGTTTCTCAGCTGTTTCTCCATCACGTGGGAGCCCAGAGCACACCCAGGCTGAGGGTGCGTTAGGAAAGAGAGGGCCTCCCCGCCTGCAGCCAAAGGTCCCCTCTAGGGACATCTCAGTCTCTAGGAGCTGGCAGGGGTCTGTCCTTTCACAGATGAGCAGGGAGGAACAGATGGCAGAGTTGAGGCTGACCTCTGTCCACATGTCTGCCTTCAGTCTACCCAGCACATTAGAGAAAGTGTCGGATAGGAGGGAAGGAAAAGAAAATTAAAAAAAAAAATAAATCTCAAACCAATGCATGAAAGGTTTAACAAAGGATCACAGATGCAATATTTGTAATACCTCTCTCTCTTTTTTCTTTTTTGTTTTTTGTTGTTGTTTTTGTTTTTGAGATGGAATTTTGCTCTTGTCCCCCAGGCTGGAGTGCAGCAGTATGATCTCGGCTCACTTCATCCTCTGCCTCCCAGGTTCAAGCGATTCTTCTGCCTCAGCCTCCTGAGTACCTGGGAGTACAGGCGCGCACCACCACGCCTGGCTAATTTTTGTATTTTTAGTAGAAACGGCGTTTTACTATGTTGGCCAGGCTGGTCTCAAACTCCTGACCTCAGATGATCCACCGGCCTTGGCCTCCAAAATTGCTGGGATTACAGATGTGAGCCACCATGCCCAGGCAATACCTCTGTCTTTCTACTGCCTGCTTCCTGGAGTGGCTGGGGAAGGGCTGGTCTCTCTGCAACATAAACCAGTGACTGCTTTCTCCACCTGACGGTATGGGGTGCCAGGCAAAGCGATGGGACTCCGTCCTGCAGTTTGCAGAGGGGCAGATGCCAGTGCTTTTATACTTGGGGTAGAGAAGGAATTCGAGAGCAGCCGCACCTTCCCCTCTGAACGACACTCTTGGGTTCTTGCTGGGGCTGGGCCGAGTTCAGCACACACATCCTCACTAGCACCCATCCTGGCACAGGCTGCAGCTCACACACAGTGCCCTGCGGGTGTCCCCCCAGCACTCGCCCCCCAGCCTTCACTGTGCTTGGCTTTCAGCCTCTCTGGACACTTCCTGGGACCACCCACAATTGCCCTTCATCTCCTCTCAGCATGATTTTCCAGAAGGATTAGTCTAAGCGTAAACGCCATAGGCCTTCTGGCCCTCCAAAAAAAAAAAAAAAAAAAAAACCCTTTTCTTTGTGAAGTAAAAATTAGACTCTTAAATCTGCAAAGAAAACTGTTTATCTTACAAATTTATTCTTTTTATTGGGCCACACATATCCAAGATAGAAAGATAAAAGGAAAACAGATACAGGCCGTCACTTAGAGTGATGTATAATGAGGCAGGGCTCATCCTCATGTTCTGCAAAATGTTCACAGTGCAGAGCGGCCGTATTGCTATTTTTATCTGTAATGTGGCCTGGGCAAGTCCTTCCCAAAAGCTCCAGGAGAAATATGCCCTCCCTCATTTCCCCTGCAGTGTCTTTTTTTTTGTGATTTTTTTTTTTTTTTTTGGAAGATTCAGGGGGTACATGTGCAGGTGTGTGGCACGAGTATATTGAGTGATGCTGAGGTTTGAGCTTCTAATGATCTCGCTGTGCAAGTAGTAAGCACAGTGGTCAATAGGCAATTTTTCAACCTTGCCCCCCTCCCTACCTCCCCTGCCTTTGGCATCCCCAGTGTCCATGTACCTTTTTTGAGATAGGATCTTGCTGTGTCACCCAGGCTGGAATGCAGTGGCGTGATCCCGGCTCACTGCAGCCTTGACCTCCCAGGTTCAAGTGATTCTTGTGCCTCAGCCTCCCCAATAGCTGGGACTACAGGCATGCACCACCACACCCAGCTAATTTTTGTATTTTTAGTTTTGCCATGGTTTTGCCATGTTGCCCAGGCTGGTCTGGAACTCCTGATCTCAAGTGATCTGCCCACCTCAGCGTCCCAAAGTGCTGGGATTACAGGTGTGCACCACCACACCTGGCCTCCAGTGTCTATTATCCCCACCTTTGTGTCCATGGGTACCCAGTGCTTAGTTCCCCCTTGTAAGTGAGAACATGAGGACATTCTCCTGCAGCTTTATTCCATAGCGGTTCCTTGCTACTGCTCTCTGGCGGACTCCTCTGGAAGAAGCTTTAGGGAAGGTCCAGATCATGCCACAGGCGACTCTGCAGGAATTACACATTTTTTGTTTGTTTGTTGCCCAGGCTGGAGTATAGTGGTGCAATCTCAGCCCATCACAACCTCCCAAGCTCCCAGGCTCAAGCGATTCTCCTGCTTCAGCCTCCCGAGTAGCTGGGATTACAGACACGTATGACGACCACCTGGCTAGCTTTTGTCTATTTAGTAGGGACGGGGTTTCACCCTGTTGGCCAGGCTAGTCTTGAACTCCTGATCTCAAATGATCCACCTGTCTCAGCCTCCCAAAGTGTTGGAATTACAGACATGAGCCACCGTGCCCGGCCCAAGAATTACACTTCTGAAACCTGCCCCTGCCTACCTGCATCCTGAAGCCAACATCCAGGACACCTAAGTCCTGCTTTTAATTCCAATCAACAGTGATTGGCCTCCTAACTTAAGTTGGCTATCTCGACTATGTTGCCAGGAGCACTTGGGCAGAATTTTAATCAGGCTCATCATTGTTTGAAACTGACCTTCATGATCCCAGCAAAAGGGAAGCTGAGGGAGGCCGGGAGGGCAAATGCAGCATGCTCAGGTTTGGGGTGTGTGGGAGTGGGAGAGGGGTAGAAGGAGATGGCCTTCCCGCTGTCTAAAGCTAGGGTGTGGTTGGCTGGAAATGACATCTGGTCATCACTCCCTCTGGCAGCAGCTCCTGGTAGACTCAACCTGCAGGACATAGAGCCACTGTGACTGTATGTAGAGCATTTGTCTGATGGTGACTTTGCAACACTCTCTTGTGCCTGTTTGCTCTGATCAATCAGCCGTCTTTGGGGGCCTTTCCACATTTATTTGGGCAACCACAATCTAGGGCTTGGTGGAGTGACTTTGAGGTCTAGATGTGGATGAGCCTAACTTCCTACTTGTGCAAAATTATAAGAAAAAAAGCTAGGTAATTATACCCTTTGAATAGCTCTCCAATGATGGTTAGAAGAGTTGGGGAGAATAAGATTGAAGTGAGATTTCAAATATAAATAACTTTGCCCAGGTGATGATATGGTCGTACACAATCCAACTGCAGAGAGAATGCTCCAAGCCAAGGGTTTCCACAGTTGCTTAGAGTCAATACTCAAATAAGAATTAAATGTGTGAGACCTGGTGTAGTGGCTCATGCCTATAATCCTAGCTCTTTGGGAGGCTGAGATGGAAAGATTGCTTGAGGCCAGGAGTTCAAGACCAGCCTGGGCAACAAAGCAAGACCCTGTCTGTACAAAAAATAGAAACTTAACGAGGCATGGTGGCCTGCACCTGTAATCCCAGCTACTTGGGAAGCTGAAGCAGGAGGATCACTTGTGCCCAGGAGTTTGAGGTTGCAGTGAGCTATGATTGTGCCACTGCACTCCAGTCTGGGTGACAAAATGAGACGCTGTCTCAAAAAAAAAAAAATAAAAAGAATTGAATGTGTTGGCCTTCATCTTTCTCATGGTCTACAAGTCTGTCCCTTTTTTGGCTGTTAGCAGAGAACACCAGGAACAGACGTTGAGACGTAAAAAGAGTTTGCATTTTCCATTGCTTGGAAGGCACAGATCTTATTTATTAATCTCTGCAGAACTCGCAGATCTCATGACCCCAGAATGTTCCCTTGTTCTCCTCGTGGGATTTACCGTGAGGCCTAGAGGGTGGGCTGGAAGCTACGGTGAGGACCCCACTATCCTCAGGAGCTTAGATTCTGGGCCAGGCCTTCAGACTCCTGCTCTGTAGGCAGGTCCACGACTGTGGAAGAAAAGTGAGCCCAGAGAAGGTTCTCTTGCTTCTCCTCCTTGAGTTCCCAATTGTCATCTCTTTGGTAGTGTGATGTCAGGCCTCGGGGGTTGCAATAACATATCCTCCAACCACTAGACATTTTTCCAGTTTTATTTACTATTATGTCCCACAATTTCTTTGCAGAAGGCAGCCATATGTAAATTTTATTCCGTTTTCTAATGGTTTGGGTTACATAACAAATAACAGCAGGAAGGAAAATTTGTATCGATAGTTGACAGAGGAAGTTCTCAAGTCACTGCAAAAAGATGTGTCTGCAGTGCTGTAAGTTTATGGGAGTTTTGCAGCTGAGTCTCTGCATATGACTTTGAATATGTCACTATATGTTTATCATGGGCTAATTGTGGAATCACATTTCCATACTTTTTCTTCTCCCTTTCATGAGATTACACCAGCCAGTGATGGATACAAGACTCTACAAGGAAGAAATGATCAGTTTTGGATAATTTTCTTTCCTGTCCCAAAATAGCCATATGTCTGCATGTCTTAGGGACTCAGCTGACACACATTTTTTTTAATTTGTTGCTTGCTATAATGCAAATATGATTTCAGTCTTATAGTGAACTCTACAGTGAGTCCATATTATAAATTAATCAGATTCAACAAACACCAACATTTTTAAACTTTTGAAAAAAAATATTTAATAGGAACTAAGCAAAAGAAGAAATCAAACCAGCTGCTGACACAGCTGTTTCTTTTCTTGTTTAATTCAGTTCAACATAAAGGTACCATATGCTGCTTAAAATGATGATAGGAAAGATGAAATAATTTAAGAGAATAACAAGAAAATACATGAATTGTCAGCATTCTGTCAGATTTAAAGAATGAAATAGACAGGTGTAGTATTGACATGTTTAACTTTGTGTGGTGTTAGCAGTTTTGGTGCGAACAACTCCTGACATGTGCTGAAGTGATGTGAGAACGTTTCTCCTTCGCTGCAGACATTGGCGAGGAGGCTGGGAGATCCGCCGGCGTCCAGCAACCGGCGCTGCTTCGCGACAGAAGCCTGGGCTCGGCCATGAAGGACTGCCCGTACTGTGGGAAAACTTTCCGGACATCCCATCACCTTAAGGTGCACCTGAGGATACACACAGGTGAGAAGTCTGAGTGCATCCAGGGGCACAGCCCAGAGGAGGAGGAGGCCCCCGTCCTGCCTGCTTTCTGGCCCAGGTCCACAACTGTGTGGGTCACTAAGTCTGGAAGGTTCTCCCTGGGCCTGTCTAGCCGCCACTGTGTGGATCATAAGCAGCCCTCATTTCCTGATTCGTCCCTTAACTAACATTCACCTCGCAAATGATGCAGGGACTCGTAAATGTAGACTCGGGTGGTCCCAGCCTGGGATAACTTGGTCACGTCTGAGCCTCTAGGGCATTTTGCTAATGGTTTCCTTCTGCTGTATTGAAGGGGTTCCTCCCCACGCCCCTGTATGAACCAGTCTCCCAGGTGTCAGTGATGGGGTCTCAGCTCAAACCTTCCTAAGTGTAGAAGGGAGTGAAGCCACTTCCCCAAGCAGCCAGGTAGAATAGGCTTAGGCCGGCCTGCGTTGCTTGCCCAGACCTGGGACAGGGCAGCTGGAGTCAATCTCCATCACTCCATGTGGCGTGGAGGAAAAGTAACTCTTCCCTGTGTCTCCTCAAAGGAGAGATTGAGATGCTCTTAGGCAAAGGGGGGCAAGTGGCTGCTGCACCCCTTTGGCGGTTTCTCATGTCTCGGCATCATACCGGCCGAGGACTGGCTGGCAACAGGGAGTTCTCTGTGTCCCTCAGTCATCGTCCTTTTTAGCTTTTCTGCTTGTTGCTTGCACATTGCCAATATAAAAAAAAATCTATCGGAGATATGGACACTTCCATTTTCTTTGATTTTCCTCCTGACACTTTATCTATTGGAGTATGAGCTGCTTCAGAGGCTAGACAAATATGCCATCTATTTTCAAAAATAATTGTGGTTTATTTCCCAAGGAATCAATAAGGCTGTGGGTTGCACAGGAATATTGAGTGCATGTGGGCCGTGTGGGCATCGCGTTGGGGGAGACAAGAAACCCCTCACCTGGAGCCTCACCTGGTCCCCACAAATCTCCCTGACACTGAGGGAAGCCTGAGGACAGATGGGCACAGGCGGCCATGGGCTGAGTCACTGGCCCTGCTCATCCTGCATGCCTACCTTGGAGTCATCTCAGGCCAAAGAGGTGTCTTTTAAAACGGTCCTCCAGGTCCCACTACTCTCCCAAATGGCCTCATGCCACCTGCCCATGCCTTGCCCCTGGCCCCATCCTGCCCCCTTCTTCATCCCTGGCACCTTTCTGAAACAGTGTCTGCCTTCCTCCCGTTCCTCCAATGCAGAATGCCTGTTCCAGCTGCAGGACCTGTGTTTCTGCCCCTCCCTCCACCTGGAATCTTCCTCCAGGTGATCCCTGGAGACTTAGCTTCACTGGGATCTAATCAGAGAGGCTGACCCTGACTACCCCACCTAAAACAGCCCTCACATCCCCTGCATTATCTTCTTTATAAACTTAACAGTTTCAGAAATAACCCTGTTGGGGTTCATCACTTATTTGTCTCCCACCAAGCAGTGTCTAAGATTCGCACAGGTGGCAATATTGTCCATCTTTTGAATTGCTCTCATTTTTATAACCCCAGGGTCTGCAAGGGCACCTTACACCCAGTTGGGGCAGATGAATTTATTTGAAAGATTGAATGACAGAAGAAATGCTCAAATAAGTGAGTGACTCCTCCTGTCTTCCCTGCATTGTTCAAGGTGGCACGGAGGAGTCAAGGGCTGTAGGGAAAGTGGTCCCTTCCCCAGGGAACACAGGAACCCATCAGAAACTACGACCTGGCAGTCAGGCTGCAAGCGCTGGTTTCTTGGGCATAGACAAAGTGGAAGATCTTCTTCCCGGGAGTTTAGGGAGGGGGCCTTGCATTCTGATCTCAGGGTCTTTGCCCTTTGAACTTCTCTGCCAGATACTTGCATGGCTTGCTGCTTCCCCTTCAGGGTCTGGCTCTGATGCCCTCTTCTCTATGAGGCCCACCCACGTGGCGGTGCACCCCCACCCCACCAGGACTTTCTAGACCCCTTTCCTTCCCTGTGTCACCTCTCCATAGTGCTCACAGCATCTGACACACCATGTCTTTGTATTTCGTTGTTGTTTCTCTCCATGCACTAGAATGTGAACTCCTTGAGAGCAAAGGCTGTGTCTGTTTGTCCAGCTGCATCCCCAGCCTAGAACAGAGCCTGACCCATGTAGGCACTCAGAAAATATTTGCTGACCCAGGCATTCCTGCGTCAACTGGTGAAAGTGACCAGGCTCGAAGGCAGTCAGCCCAGACATGTGGTTTTCTCAGATGATGCTAATGTCCATTTTCCTCCCCAGATTGGAGCCAGGGTTGTGGTGGTGGTTGGGTGGGGCGGGGACCTGCAGACTGCCAGGATACGGGCGGTGGTCCACAGGGCACTCACCCTTAAGCTGTCTGCGGGAGTGTGGAAACCAGGCCAGGCTTGTCTTGTGTATTTCATGTCGATACAGAACACTGGACCACGTTTCCCAGCCAGGTGGTGGCTCTCCATGGGTGAGGTCGGCCTTGCAGAGTGTAAGAGTCAGTGAGGAATGGCGGTGCCTCTCAACAAGGGGCTTCGCTAACCGTGTCGCCCCAAGCCCCGACAGCTTCCCTGGACGTAAGAGTAGACACTCCACAGAATATTTCCAGGCAACTTAGGGCCAAGGCTGACGGAAGTTCTGGGGAACCTGGGAGAGAGCAAATGGTTACTGCTCTTCGCAGTTTTCAAGCTTGAGAAAGACTAAAGTTTCTGAACTGCTTCACAAACCTCGGCATAGTCTTTAGAGACATTGAGAGAGACAAGATAGGGCCATGGACAGAGGCATTCTGGAAACTTCCTAGAATCAGAGAGAAAATGAAAGAAGCCATGGAAACATCACACCACCTCCACCACCCCTCGGAAGCAGCATTTGCCTTGTGTAACAGGCAGAATGGTAACCAGATAAAGATCAATTTCCTTTTTATCTAAGAACAAAGAAGCTGGAAAATGCTTACACTTGTGCATTTGAATAGAACAGAAAGTGTTACATGTTATAAATCACCCAAATAAACATCTATTATGACAATGTAAAAGTGTAGATTACACAAGTAATTAAGAATCAAAATCAACGTATTTGTTAATAAGTGATTTCATGTGGGACTCAAGTTGGTGAGAGGCCCTGACTGCCTTCTCTTTTGGCCCCGGTGTCTCTCCTTGCTCCAAATACCATAGAGTTTTTTGTATTTCTAAACGACACGGCCAGAGGACAGCAGTCTCATTATGAAACAAAAATGCATGTGCTCCAAAATGCCATCTTTTTGAAGTTTTTAAACAATGGACCTGTAGGAGCACATTTTAAAACTCAACGTGTAATAAATATATTTTTAATTGGGATATGAGGTGGCACCTTCTCTGTATTTTTTCTGTCCGACTGCATCTTTATTGGAAGTCTCGATCATGTAACATCAGTGGATAAAACCTCTCTCCTTTTTCTCCCCACTGCATTAACTCAATTACTGTTTCTCTTCTCCTTACACCTGTTTATTGGAGAGGTGCTGACTAGATGCACCAGTCAGGTTGCTCTGAACATCTGGGAGCCCGGGAGAGCCTATGAGTCACTAGGGATGTTTCTGGTGCACCCTAAGCTTCAGCCAGGTCCACAGGGGACCAAGGAGAGGCTCCTGCAGGACCTCGGGAATCCCCAAGGCCATCAGATCCTGGAGGCTGCCTCACTCTGGCTCCAGGCAGGGTGGACGTTGATGGCTGCTTGACCCAGAGAGGGCTGAACTTCTCTCCTCATGGAAACATTACCCTGGGCAGACTAGGGTCCAATCACTGGATATGGGCAATTTTTCTTCTACAGCAGTGTCTGTGATTCGAATTCAGAGCCAGTTATTGCAGGCTCAGAAAGGAGATTGCATCAGTCAGGGTTCTCCAGAGAAACAGCACCGATAGGAAATGTATGTATGGCCAGGCACAGTGGCTCATACCTGTAATCCCAGTACTTTGGGAGGCCGGGGTGGGAGGACTGTTTGAGCCCAGGAGTTCAGGACCAGCCTGGGCCATGTAGTGAGACCTCATCTCTATAAAAGGAAAGAAAAGAAAAGAAAGAAAAGAAAAAAAAAAAGAAAGAAAAGAAGGAGATATGCTACACACACAGAGACACACAGAAACACACAAGAGATTTATAAGAAATTGGCTCAAGTGATTATGGAAGCTGAGAAGTCCTAAGATCCAAAATCTGTAATTGGTGAGCTGGAGACCCAGAAGAGCTGATGGTGTAAATTCCAGTCTGAGCCTGAGCCGGAATGCAGGAGACCAATGTCCTAGCTGAAAGACAGCCAGGCAGAGCAAGCGCACTCCCCCTCGCTCAGCCTTTTGTTCTATTCACGCCTTCAATGGATTGGACAAGGTGCACCCACATTGGAGAGGGCCACCTTCTTTACTCAACCCACCCACTCAAACGTTCATCTCATCCAGAAACACCCCCACGGACACACCCAGAAGAATCCTTAACCAAATATCTGGGCACCCTGCCGCCCAGTCAAATTGACACAAAAATTAACCATCACGGAGATACATCAGCAAACATCTAGTTGTAACATGCAACGAGGAGGACGCATGTCCCCAGAGTCTCCTGAGAGGTTGGCAAATCATTTCAGGATTGGTCTCCATGCGCACATGCCATTCTTTCCCTCCACGTCCCCTCCCTGCGCCCTACCTTGGAAAGCCAGGTGCCTGGGGGTACTCTGGAGGGTCTGATGTATCTGTTTTGTGTGCACAGGAAGCAGGCAGATGCTGACAGATCCCTGAAAGGCTGGGGGAGGCTTGGCCCCCTGATGGGTGAGCACCCCCTGCATGGCTGTGGGACTCCTGGCTGGGTTCCCTAGGGCGGCTCTCCCATGTGTGGGTTTTTCAGGATGGGGTTGTTGTCTCAAGGAATGACCATTGTAGAGAAATGTAATAAGCAACTTCACTCGTGAAAACTTGGAGGCATGAAAGTTCAGGGACTAATTAAAAATAAATCTCATTAGTTTCTTCCCCCTCTCGAGTTCTGCGA